AACTCTGTCACTGTATTGGCGTCTCCTGTTACATGGGCAGATGCTCCACTGTCCATTATCCAAGCTTGTGAAGATGGAGTTATACCAAACTATGTTACATTTGCCACTGGATTATTTCTAAAATTGCCCCAACATTCTTAAGCTGTGTGTCCGGGCTTATCGCAGAGTTGAAAAACTGCCCTGTTTCTATTTTTCAAACCACCACCACGATTGTTGCCATGTCTACCGCCATGATAACCTCTTCTACCTATGTTGTTTCCACCGCGGTAAGAATTTCTCTGAGGCTGATTTTCAATAAGATAATGTTGATGCCCCTGCCTTCCATTTGCTCGAACCAAATTTGCAAGGTACGCCTTGTGCTGCTACTGTCGAATGGTGTTTTCATGATCGAAAAGCTTTTAAAAAAGTTCTATGTATGACACTTCAGTTTCTCTTGCCTTTAGGGTTGTTGCAATAGTGTCAAATTATGAATTTAAATGATAGCGACTACGAGTTCGCCTTCAGTGATCGGGTTTTGAGCAAGAGCAAGATCATCCATGATAGATTTCATCAAATGAAGATGTGCACTTACCTTCATATTATCCTACGATGTTGTTGCTAGCTTTCTTCTTAGCGCCGCAACTCTCGACCTTGTTTGACTTGAGAAAACTTTAGTGAGTGTTTCCATAGCCGTAAAGGTTGTTTGTACCCTCACAATTAAGGGTACAAGAGATGTACTTAGGGATGATAATATTGCATGGATAATTAGTTTATCCTGCCTTGCCCATGTTGAGTATTCTGGATTTGGAACTTCCTTGCCATCCTTTTCGTTGGTCAAAATCATCTTTGGAGGGGGCTGAATTGTGCCATCGATATGAACAAGGAGATCAAGTCCAAATAAGAGGGTCTGAATTTGTAATAGCCAAGAGGGAAATTTTGTCTCATCGAGTTTGAGCGGAAGCTACTGGGCAATGTTGATTTGGATGACAGTAAAATTTGATAATGGGGCCACGGATTCAATGTTGGTATCGCTTGTAGGCTTTGTGTGGCTTTGATACCATGTAAGGTAATCAAGGTATTGGTAATTTTATTCATTTACATAACACATACATTTATAAGGAGGATGGTCAACACTACATTAATTACATAGCTAAGATTAAGCTAATTACATAACTAAGATTAAGCTACTCTACATCACGATCAATTATGGTACTACACCATAAATACATATAAGAAATAATATGGAAAGTAAAAGAAAGTTTGGCTAGATTGGTGCACAATTAATTCATTCCTTTTCTATAGATATTTATGTAGATATGGGGATGCTGGTGAGAATCCTACCTAGCAAATTATAGATCGAATACTAGTATTTTATATTGGTTGTATGAAATTTAAGTCAGTGATCTAAGTAATTGATTAATATGATTAAATCTCCATCAACTCTCTCAATTTTTTCACAAGAATTCATCTTAATTCAAAACTTCAAAAACTCATGGAGAGGAATGATCCATATTATCAAAGAAACCATCAAAAAATAAACACTAATGAAAGCATAAAATATAATAATATAAAACATAACGAGTAAACAAAGAAAGCACGTGTGTTCTTTCACAATTCCCCAAAAATAATTTTTTTAAAAAAAAAACTAATATATTACACACTTATTATTTTTCCTTCATACCTCACGTAAAAAAATATATCTTCAAACAATTTACTAAGGGTGTGTTTGTTTGAGGGATTGGATTTTGAGTTGGGATTTTAATAGTAAAAATTTTGAATTATAATAGTTGTATGATGTGATATAAATAAGTATTGATGTAATATTTGAATGTAAAATTAATTTTTAATATAATATAAAAATAAAAAATAAGTGTTTGATTTGATATTTTTTTGGGGAAAAAAATTGGATAAATAGTAAAATTTGGGACAAATCCTTTAAACGACCACACCCTTAATTTTCAGGGCAACTTCCAATAAAATTCATATTTCTTATTACAAATTCTTATTTACTCTCTAAATATAAATATCTTCTTTTTACTCCCTATTTATATAATTTTATTTTTTTCACTCTCTACCTATTTAAAAAGACCATAATACCCTTAGTTATTTCCATTCACTTTTTTCATTATTCTTCCAAATTACATAAAATTAACCTCTAATTTTATTTTAAATTTTTATGGTAAAAAAAATAAAAACAATTAACAATAAAATCAACCACCATAAACAAAATACCACTGTTGACGGAAACAATAACCAGAACAGCCACAGTATCTCACAATGAAAATTTTCATAAACTTAGAATATGTAATCTCTAAATTATAAAAATATGTTTATTTATAAATTCTATAGTGTTAGATTTTTTTAACTTAATTGTTAGATTTTATTTTGTTTTTTGGTTATGCAGCAAATAGCTAAATTTTATAACAATATAACTATTGTCCTTTTAATTTATTGAGAATGTTGTATTTTATTTCTTAACCGTATTTGTGATATTTAATTCATTATGTTTCAATCCGAAAAGTACAATTTTTTTTGGAATAAAAATTAAAAAGAAAAATCTGTTTTTCTTTTATGAAAAATACAAACGATATCATAACTTCATTTCAATGAAATGAAATTCACCATTGAGGTTTATTGTACAATAGTAGAATATAAGAATCAAGTAAACACTAATATCTTTGAAATAAAAAATGTGTGGTATTCAATCTTGAAAGTATCGTCCAACTATAATATACTTGATTTGATACACTAATAAGTAGAATTCTTTAAAAAAATAATGACAATACTTAATCGCAATAGAAAATATTTTTGAAGAATACTGGTCTCGACTAACTAAAATTTATGTAAGAGGAAAAATATTTATTTCAAACACTTTATAAAAGTACTGATTCCTCAACAATAAAGTATTAAAAATAATTTGAAAAGTACATAACTTTATTTTAAAAAATATATCTTTTCTCGTACGAAAAATACAAACGCCACCAAAATGTTTTTTCAAGACGATGTATTTTACCATTGCTATAGTATGTCTTTCAACATAACTCTTGTAGTGTTATTTGCGTTTATTTTCAATATAAACTTATAAATTTTAATTCATTTGTTAGAGTTTATGGCACACAAAATATAATCAAGTTAACACTAATATTTTTCAAGTAAAAAATATGTAGTGCTCAAACTTGAAAGTATCACATGACAATAATGATAATAATTTTTAAAAAAATAATGACAATGCTTAAATTACAATGCAAAATACTTATATAAAATATTGGTCACAACTGACTAAACTTCGTGTGAGGCAAAAAATAAGTATTTCAAACACCGTGTAGAAATATTGACTACTACTCAACAATAAAATATAAAAAGTAAATTTGAAAAGTACAAAACTTTATATTAAAAAGTATATTTTTCTCATATTAAAGTACAAACGACACCAAAATTTCCTTTCAACTCGATGCAATTCACCGTTACGATGATATATATTTCCGACATAATATATGTAAATTTATTTGTGTTTATTGTCGATATAAATTTCAAATTGTAATTCATCCATACGGACTTATGGCACAACAGTAGTAGAAGATAAGAATAAAGTGAAAACTAATATTTTAAAGTGTAAAACATGTGGTGATAATTTTAATATTATCGTTCGACAATAAATCATTCGATTCAATACAATGCTGATAAAAATTCTTAAAACCGACTTTTTTTTATCGAAAAAAAAAACTTGTAAATCATAATGTAATATATTTATTAAAAATATTTGTTTCGACCTACTAAAGTTTGTATAGGACAAAAAATGGGTGTCTCAAACGATTTCAAAAAGTCTATAACTTTATTTTAAAAAGTATATTTTTCTCATATGAAAAGTACAACATCATAACCTCATTTTGATTTGATGCAATTTACCGTTGCGATTATATACTTTTTTCAGACGTTAAACTTGTGATTTTCATTTGTCGTCCGTAAAAATTAAAAAATCAATTTTTATTTGATTATAAAAAAAATTGAATTAGGCAAAAGAATTATTGAACAAATAAGCTAATTTTAGTGGTTGATATGAGTGTGGTAATAAAGTAAATAAAAATATATAATAATGACATAATAGGAATTTTAATGTTAAATTAACAAATACATGAAGTAATTAGGAATGAGCAAGTAGTTAAGAATAAAATTGTATAGAGGAATTGAATGAAAAAAGTATATAGAGATACAGGAATTTTAGAAGAATTAACCATATTTTTTATAAGATAAAGGTGTGTTTGTTTGGGGGTTTGGATTTTGAGTTGAGATTTGAATAGTAAAATTTTTGAATTTGAATAGTTGTATGATGTGATATAAATAGGTGTTGATGTGATGTTTTGAATGTAAAATTGATTTTTAGTATAATATAAAAAATAAAAAATAGGGGTTTGATTTGATGTTTTTGGGGGGAAAATTTTGGATGAATAGTAGAATTTGGATGAAATCCTACAAACGAACACACCCTTATTTTTATAAATAACTTTCAAAATTTTATCTATTTTACAAACTTGTTTAATAATAATAGCTTTACCAGAGTGTCTGTACAATTCCAAGTAGATTGGAGATGATCTTACAAAACTAATCCTATCTCAACTAAAATGACCCTTCAAAATGAATTCATGAGATTACGATCTATATAAGCATAGCATTGGGGGGTATAAAAGATATTTGAAAACCATTTTTAAAACGAGGAAAATAAGGTGAACTAAGCAAGCAAATAACCAGTAATGGTAGAAGGCAGGAAAGAGCAGCAGACAAACCACTAAGCAAAGATTTCATTGGCCCCACGGGATCTTCTATAGTGACAAAACTCCCAAATTTAAAAGCAATGTTAGGTGATGCTCCACCTCTTATGGACCCTACCCACAAAACTGACATGCCTCTGAAGATATAAACTAGTATAAAACAAACTCGGCATTAGAATTGCTTGTACAGTGTACTTACAGAGTTCAAAACACACGAAGCCTCCAAGCAAATTTATTTATTTATTTTGTCTGGGTATGGGAAACTGCATTGTGATCCATGAGAAGCCTGTCAGAGTGATGAGAACAGATGGAAAGATCATTGAATACAAAGCCCCAATTAGAGTCGAAGAAGTTCTATCAGAGTATTATCACCATGTAATATCGGATGGCATTCCGGTGCTGCAACACATGCATCCTCTTGCTGAAATGCGTCGCGGCCATCTCTACTATCTTCTTCCTCTACCGGCAGCAAAGAAAACAATAAAGAAGAAGAAGGCGGTTCGGTTCTCAGATGATGTTATAGCGTTGGAAGAAGCCAAACAAACTGCTGGAGTAGTGAGAGTTAAAGTAGTGATCAGCAAGCGGGAACTGTTGGAAATGCTTGGAAAGGAGAGAGACTCAGCTGAGGATACGGTTTCTCAGATGCAGAAAGAAACATCATAAACAAGATGGAAAGTACTTACAGAAATGAAGCCACGGTAGCAATCTCAGAAGCTAGCTAGTTCTTGTTGCTGTAGCTCAGAGCATCAATATATATATATATATATATGTAATATGTGTATATATTATAGAGAGAGAGTACTTAGCCGCAACAGTGTTAAGTGAAGATTGTTTCGAATATTTCTTCTTTGTCACAAGCTTAAAAGATATTTCTCATTCATAGTTTAACATAGAATCTCAACTAAAGCAATTCAAATGAGTCAACGGGCATCGTTTTTATACCAAAGTTACTTCAATTTAGAACCTTCCAAGCTAACCTTCGCTGCAAATGAATAAGCATACATCACAAATAACGCAATCTATAAACCACATTTCCTTAAGAATTAAAATTTATAAATCGATCTGCTGAACTCTGCTTTAGTTTGCAATCACACAAGCCAACATGATCTGCGATTCATTATGAAGTGCAAAGATAAAGAACAAAACCTTAACTGTCGGAAATGCAGCTGGTCGTATAACCTTAAAACTTACGGTACTGTTTTTCCGCAATAAGTTATGCATAAATCATACATGGCCAAATTATGTGGAGCAAGGGCGGCAGAAAAAATGATGAAAATTTGGTCAAACCAAGATAATGTCATACTGCCGAAGCCTCTTGCTGGGAATGCCAAGTAACCACATCCTTATAAGGCAATTTACCACCAAATATATCCAAAGCACTACCGACAGTGACATCTACACGTCCCATTCCTGCAATTCTAATCCTCTCTAAATCATCCATAACAGTGACTCCACCAGCATATGTGACCGGAATCTAGCAAATACATCAAAACCATTCATAGCATCTAAGACAAAAGATTAACAGGAAGAAAAGCATGAAAAATGATAATGATAGTACACTAATGTCTAACAATCAAGCTCCGGCTTCCACCATAAATATGGAAGAGCAGTTTTGTGACATATATATTGTCTTCGAATGGGCAGCAGCCAAAAAAAAGGTGGTACTGATAATGTAACCGAAAAATAGAAGTTCAAGAAAAATGCAATTGCAATTGATTTAATTCAGTTTAAGAGAAACAAGAAGAATGTAATCATGAATGGGGAACGAAACATTCAAGCAATGATTCATAGGGGCAAAATATAATAAAAAAACTCACAGGTGAGTGCTTGCCAAGTAAAGCCACAAGCTCTTCGTCAATCCCCAACCTGCCACAACAAAAGCAAGCAACAAAAATCAGACATAAGTACGTCAGTTTAAAGGTCATGCCTCCATAAATATCTCTAATTAAAAAGAGTGCAGCATTCCAGATTTTGCAGATATAAATATTCATGTTCAGACCATAGACTAAATATGGTGTTGCAAGAAAATGTAATGGCTTATGTCAGCTATAAGACGCACTTTTTGCCTTCGACATCAACTCCATGGACCAGAAATTCATCAGCATATTTTGCAAGAAACTCCAAAATTTCTTGATCAAGATACACATCACTGAATTTCTGCCATCTATCTGTGACAACTGCATACTTATCATCCTGCCCAAAAACATTTTCAAGGTATAAAAAATAACACAATGACAATAATATAATTCAATTGACCAAACCATCTTCAAACACATGTAATTTATTTATTAAATGGATGTTTCTGATATATTCAGGGCCAAGCTGGGAAGTTGGACTTCAATAACTCAGGGATTCATTAGTTGTATTAAACAGAGTAAATAAGATATTGACTAAATGTTTGTATAACAAGTGATAGAATGTCCTCAGAAAGATAGATACCTTCTTTCTGCAACTAAGATCCAAAACAAGTCTCTGTTTCCCCACAACATGAGCAAGTTCCTTTAGCCTTTCAAAATCGACTTGTCCGTCATTGAACACATACTACCATGACAAGTACTAAGTGGATTAGATTCAAATAAATAATAATAATAATAATAATAAAAGCACAAAAAAATGTTGGTAATCATGCTTTACACACAATTATCCAATGTAATGAAACTATATATGTAAAACATGTTCCAGTTGTCCAACAATGAAACCTAATGAGTGCTCGCACTAAGGTTAGACATAGTCAGTGATTTCATAAAGAGGAAAATATGTTGCTCTTGACCATGCAGGAAGCAATGCAAATACGAAAAAGCAAAAATAATAATAAAATAAAATAAAATAATCTATGTAGATAAAGAAATAAAAAACTTACAGAAGTTACAATGACATGGCTTGCTCCCTCATCTACGTAACTGATGGCATTACTTGAATTAATACCACCTCCTATTTGCAAACCACCTAGATGTTTCCAGCAGTGAGTATAGCAGTAATAAGAAAACATAGTTCCAATACTTTAAAAATATAGAAGATACTCAAATGCAACATCCTATATGATGTCTTTGCATCATTTGAAAGCAAGTACTTCAGCAACATATAACAGTTTTTATAGAAACCTACTAGGAATGTCTTCACAATTGGCGGTGGTGTACTAACAATATTTACACTAGTTAGCTTCAGCCGAAAACCAGAAATTGATTTTGGGTATAAAGCAGAAGTCCACAAGAGCTGAGATTTGACTACTGCATTCCTAACAGATAAAAGTAAAGGAAACGACATATAATTGAATAACCGTATTTTAAACTTGCAGTAATAATACCAACACAGTATATGCATGATTATCGAGTCATGCCAAGAGAAGATAGAGGGGGAGGGTGTGAACTATCACTCCAAACGATGAAAAGGGAGCTTATGTTCCTCAAAAATCAGCAGCAGAGTTTACTTTGTAAGAAAATAATAAATAATATTATTTCACATCCCAAAGCTGTAGCGAGTTCATGATAAGAAAATCTAAGAATAATATCTAGATATGAAATTGATGCATCTGAATAAATGAGCACTTAAGTGATACAAAGTCAAAGTTGGAAACATTATATAAAGCATTCATCAAGTACTCAACAGTTAGAAACCCACAGCCTCACAATAACAAAATTTTTGTATAAAGAAAATGTATGGTTAGTCCATTACTAATCAAGATATAATCCGATTAACAGCAGAAATAATCTGTAACCAAATTCAGTTTGTTATTAAGTGGCCTTTGTAATAAGGATGCCATAGCACTCAGAGATATGAAAGAACATATTTTTGGAACAAGTAACACCATGCCGACCTGGATATGCATGTAATGCTTCTATTGCTGCTAATTGGCTTAAAGGATCAGCTCCAAGCATGATCACATGGCCACCAGTTAAACCATTATCCTTGTACATTTTAGCATATTCTGCAGCAGATTTATCCGATTCATAATTAGTTATAAGACTTGAATCTCCTTCTTTAGAATCTTTAAGAGTGGAACCGACAATCTGTTTCACTTTCCCCTGTAAAATTATATACATATTTTTGTTAGCTAGTCCATGACATATATGCGGAAATTTGGCACAATACAAAAGCCATTAACTTCAAAGGTGCAGTATATCATGTAAAAGCTAGAGAAACAAAAGCCAGATTCATTTAATGGCTTGATCCTCATTCAATCGGCACCTTACAAGCTAATATAACCAAAAAAAAAAAAAAAAAAATTAAAAAAAATTCAACATAGAATGTATAATTAAATCCAATTAGAAGAAACAATTCAAGCACTCTGCTTTCTCCAGCACGAAAAAGTTACTGAAAGTGGTAAGGATAGAGTAATAGATCAATGGATATTACTACAGTTCATTTCATTTAAATTTCAACTACTGGATTGACTAATGCAATGGAGTAGAATTCTAATTCAGATGTTATATCGTTATTTCAATATTTCACAACTTCTGGATAGTTGGTTAATATTTTCCCACAAATCGGCTGGCTTTCGACAGAGGAAAGGGAATTGTGGTTTTTCACATCTTGCCACATATTTAGACTACAAGGAGCATGGCTAGTGCAACTTTGGACTACTCCAAAAACTGAAGAGAACGCCATTGAACCAAACCTTGTGTATGTCAATGCAAGGCCGAAACTGAATGGCACATAGTGTAGACATCCTTCGGGTTCCTGAAAAGAAAAATCTACATTCCAATGACTCCAGACGTCTTTACCAAAAAGAATGTCATCAACTTATCAATGGAGTAAAATTAGGGCATACTGGGGGCCAGCCACTGCGCGGCGTACACCATTTTTGGCTTCAAAGAAGCACAAACCGTGCAGCGCCCATTAAAATCCTTCCAGGCCGAACACGCTTGCATCGTTTGAATGCTCATTATGAAGATAGATTGAAATTTACACCTACACGTCGTAATGAATCACACATGAATAACATCAAATGACTATAAAGAGCGGCGCCAAGCATTACACAGCAGTAATTGGGTAAATCAAGAACTACTATTCAAACAGCAGTAACTATAGAAAAGACTGTATAACCAATTAAACAAACAATTGTGCCCCATGTGTTCTAGCCACCAAACAAGATGGATCGAACTTCCGTATGAGTACCGCAATAATCGGAGAAGAGTAAAGATTCGAATAATTATCGGCGGCGGGGAACGGAGATCGACAAGACTTGACGGATGGCAATGGCTTTAGTCGGGACCCGAGACCCGATTGTTTGAATACCTAATCATCCCAACCGACCCGATAAATGTTTGACCGACTCTATTCGGATCCCACTCGAAAAACCCTGAGGTGAACCCGAGTAGACTTGTCCATCCAGGTTCAAACCGCCGGATCGCCGGTTATTTGAAAAGGGGAGAACGAAGAAAGAATTGGGAAAGAAAAGAAAGAATCGGAGAAGTAGAAATACAAAAATTTTATTAATTCTATGTTTTTCTTCAAAAAAATATCAAATTAAACACCTATTTTTCATTTTTTATATTATATTAAAAATCAATTTTACATTCAAAACATTACATTAACACCTATTTATATCATATCATATAACTATTTAAATTCAAAATTTTTACTACTCAAATCCCAACTTAAAATTCAAACCCCCAAACAAAAACACCCAAGAAGAACCCGGTGCGTTTTGCCGCTACCGTGGCAACTTTGAAGAAGAAGAAAGAAAGGAAAGAATGGTAAAATAAAGATGGGAATAACAGTTGCGGCGACGCAATGACATAAAATCCTTAGTTTCAATTTTTTCTTTTATTCCACGGTTCCAACCAATAAAATGTATACATATGTAATACTAATAAAATAATAAATAAAAGCGATAATAACATAGCATTTATTTGAATTTAAATATTTTTATTAAATTCATTGTGTTGATATATTTTTTCAACAATAAAAAAATATAAAATTTGAAAATAGGAAATTATCTTCGAATTTGATATATTTAGCGTCTGAGATTAGGAATCTCTAAACACTGTACGGTACAGAAAATAAACTGGAAAATAAAAGACTGAAAATTTAAATGATGATCCCCGAATCACTGACTTTGTTGTCAATTGAAGATGATTGAAGATGATCTGTCAGTTGCTGACCTAAATCCTTAAATATTCTTCATAAACGGTACTTGGAACCGTCGTCCGAATGGTTACAATGTGACATAGATTAGGATCATCTCCATGAATCAAACTCGAAGACAAATATCTAATATGTATTCGGGAACTTATAATGCTAAATCGAAATTGAAATAGAAATATGATGAGTAGAATTCCAAAAGCAATCACTCCTCTCGAGCAAGCACTTCGAGAATCCACGGACTGTCCGAGGCTGCAGATCCATCTTCTGTCTCTCACGCATTTGCATCCGAAGCTCAACAATCGAATTGCCCTCTCGGCGGATGGAATCACTCCAACTCTAAGGAATTTCTCCAAAGCTAGGTTAACCCTCTCTCAAAATGTTCTCATCTAAGTTGTGTGTCCATCAAGAAAATAAACAAGGCTATATATACTAAATGACAAATTAATCTAAGCCACACATCTTAAGTGGCAAGCTAATCTAAACCACACATTTTGATTAAGATCAAAGGATCACAACCTCTAAGCACACAAGTAGCTTCGACCGGGTTCGGGTTGCAATCGGTCCGTCTAAGTTCGGGTTCGGGTGATCCGGAGCCATGTCATCCTCTCCCCCTTCAGCTGCCTTGTCCTCAAGGCTAGTAGTAGCATTTTCGGTTGCCTTGTACTCAAGGCAAGTAGCATCTTCAGCATGATCAAAAAGACTCAAATCGGCAACGTTGAAAGTCGCATTCACGCCCAAGTCTTTCGGAAGTGCGATCCGGTATGTGTTATCGCTTATGCGCTCCAACACACGAAATGGACCAGCTCCATGAGGAGAAAGTTTCTCACGCCGCAGCTCCGGAAAGCGTTCTCTACGCAAATGTATCCATACCCAATCTCCGGGTTGAAATATCACGCGTTTTCTTCCGCGATTGGCGTAGCGTGCGTATGTCGCGGCCGCCTTATCAATGTACTCCCGTACTTTGGCATGTAATTCCTTGATTGATGTAGCTCGATCCCTGCCACTAAAATTCAAATGCTCGCTTCTAGGTAGTGGCAACATATCGGTAGGAGTTAAAGGATTAAAACCATAAACAACCTCAAACGGGGACAATTTAGTAGTAGTACTAACATGCCTATTATAAGCAAATTCAACATGTGGTAGGCATTCATCCCATGTTCGACCACAATCATGTACCATGGCACGTAGAAGATTACCTAAGGTACGATTGATCGCCTATGTTTGGCCATCAGTCTGGGGGTGACACGTGGTAGAGAAAAGTAAGCGCGTCCCAATTTCATGCCAAAGACTCTTCCAAAAATAAGATACGAACTTTACATCCCTGTCAGATACAATAGTTTTTGGGACCATATGCAATTTCACAACCTCTCAAAAGAAAAGCTTTGCCACATGACTAGCATCTGTCGTTTTCGCACAAGGTATAAAGTGAGCCATCTTGGAAAATCTATCAACCACAACAAAAATTGAGTCTTTAGCATGCGGTGTCCGAGGTAAACCAAGAACAAAATCCATAGAAATATCTAACCAAGGGCCTTCCGGAGTGGGAAAAGGAGTATACATACCATGGGGCTTCAAAGTACTCTTCGCCACTCTACATGCAAGACACTTATCAACAAAAGAATCAACATGTTTACGCATATGAGGCCAGTAAAAGTGAACGCTAAGAACATCAAATGTAGCATGTCTACCAAAATGTCCAAGCATATGACTACCATGACTCTCCTCAATCAAAACATCTCTAATGCTACATCTAGGAATGCACAATTTATCACCATGAAACAAATAGCCATCATGCTTATAATAATCATCAAAACCATGCTTCTCACACTTCCTAAATATATCACCAAAATCTACATCATGCTCATACAACTCACGAATATGTGCAAATCCAACCAAATGTGTACGAGTATGATTAAGTAAAGCATACCTCCGAGAGAGTGCATCAGCAACTACGTTCTTTTTCCCTTGTTTATACCTAATCACATATGGAAATTGCTCAATAAAGCTTACCCACCGAGCATGCCGCTGATTGAGTTGCTGCTGCCCACGCAAATGCTTGAGGGTCTCATGATCCGTGTGAATCACGAACTCCTTTGGCAGCAAGTAATGTTGCCAAACTCTCAAGGCTTGCACAACCACATATAATTCCTTGTCGTATGTCGAGTAATTAAGGGCTGCTCAATTGAATTTCTCACTATAATAAGCAATTGGTCGTCCTTCTTGTAATAGTACTACACCTATACCAACTCCACTAGCATCACATTGGACTTCAAAAGCTCGTTCAAAATCGGGTAGTGCCAAAACCGGAGCATGTGTCAAACTATCCCGAAGCTTCTCAAAGGATGCTTCGTGACTTGCCTCCCACTTAAATGGAACATTCTTCTTTAAAAGGGAGGTCAATGGGGCTGCTATCACACTAAAATGTGGTACGAATCGCCTAAAGAATCCACACATTCCAAGAAACCTCCGGACATCAGGCACACTTGTCCATTTTTTCCATTCCCGAATTGCAGCAACCTTAGATTCATCAACCTTAAGACCCTCTGCACCTACAACAAAGTCAAGGAAAATAATTTCATCAGTGCAGAAAATGCATTTCTTTAACGTACCATACAATTTAGCATTTCTTAATGCATGAAAAACTTGCCTAACATGTCCTAGATGGTCCTCCAAACAAGTACTATAGACAAATATGTCATCAAAGTATACCACCACAAACTTTTCAATAAATTCTCTCAACACATGGTTCATCAACCGCATGAAAGTGCTGGGCGCGTTTGTCAACCCGAATAGCATGACTAGCCACTCGTACAACCCAAACTTAGTTTCAAAAGCTGTTTTCCACTCATCTCCGGGTTGCATACGAATTTGATGGTACCCATTCTTTAAATCAATTTTTGTAAACAACCGTGCTCCATGCAACTCGTTAAGCATATCATCCAATCGAGGGATTGGATGTCGGTATTTCACAGTAATTGCATTGACGGCCCTGCAATCAACACAGATACGCCATGAGTTATCCTTTTTAGGGACAAGTAAAACAGGTACAACACAAGGAGATAAAGATTCTCGAACCCATCCCTTATCAAGAAGCTCTTGGACTTGTCTCCGAATTTCCTCACTTTCTTTTGGATTACACCTAGAAGCTGGCCTATTGGGGATTGATGAACCCGGTGCAAAATCAACACGATGTTCGATGCCTCACAATGGTGGTAATCCAGGTGGTATATCATCCGGAAAAACATCCTCAAACTCCTTAAGCAAGTCTACAAAAGGAGAAGACGAGTGAGAAAAAGAATTATCGTCAATAACAAGTACTTCTTTGAGTAAGAGAATATAAAAGTAACTTCCCTCATCTTGGTTACTATTTTGGCGAACTTCTTTGTTGAACTCTTTGAGACTAAGCATCAGCTTGCTATCGTCTCCCTCGGAAGGTTTCGCCGAAATGGTAACAACAGCCCTTTTTGATTTTACCACATCTCGCATAGTCCTATGTAAATGTTCTGCATCACGACGGACGGTCTCGAGTGGAAGGGCGGAAATGCTAAGCTTCTTGCGACCTTTAGTGAACGATATTTGATTCTTATATCCATCGTACAAAACACGTCTATCAAATTGCCATGGTCATCCCAAAAGGAGGTGGCATGCAGTCATGGGACACACATCACAAAGGACATCATCGCTGAAACCACAAATCGAAAAGGTAACAATAGCTCGTCTATCGACACGGACAGCTCCTTCATCGCTCATCAATGTAGGTTATATGGTTTCGGGTGTGGGGTGGTATTCAAACTCAGCTTCTCAACCACATAGGAACTAATAACATTGGTGCAACTACCCGAATCCACTATCATGGATATAGTATGTCCCGCTACCTTGCAATGACAATGGAATAGATTTTCTCGCTGTCCCGCATCCTTATCTTCGCGCGCTAAAGATGTTAAGGCACGCACGACTACTAAACTTAATGGATCCTCATCGCACACTTCTTCAACGTCTTCATCACTTCCAGCCTCTGCTTCAGCCTCTACTACCTCATCGCCCTCACCATCATCGACATATCCCCATTCGCCATTCTCTAAAATCATAACGGTTCGTTTATTGGGGCATTGACCTGCATAGAGCCCTTGTCCATGACACTTATAGCACGTTACAATCTTTTCTTTTTGCTGTCCAAAATCCTTTCTTTTGAACTTCGCAGCCTCATCCTTCTTATCAATTATTTTATATTTGCCTTTATCCATATTTTTATCGAAGGGCTTAGCGAAAACAATT